CTTCAATTGATGGACTCCCGACGTTTATTGTACCCATAAACGTTGCGTCATCGGGGATATCCAGAGGGTGCTGGGTGCATTGCAAGGTTTTTTTCTCACAGCTCTGGTTTTTGCTGTCAATCTCATAGAATATCCCCTGCAGGATGTAGATACAGATTCAGATGTCCAGGCGCAAAACAGCATTAAGTGATCTGTTACATTTTTTTTGAAGAAAGAAATCACCCACCTCATCGAAAAACATCAGCAGATCCAAACCCAGTGATGTGTTGGTGGGGTAGCTCTCGTTGGATCTGAACCGCAGTTTCTTGCCCATCGAATCATAAGTGAATGCACCATATGCTTTCACGTCACCCTTCATGGATCTCTGCAGTTTCATTGAACAAACACGCATTCCGAGAGTTTAGTGCTAGATTTTAAAATGTTACAAAAAAAATAAAATAAAATACCAGAAATACAAATTTTCCTGAAAGACACATTTTAAAAACTCACCAGACTCATGAATCCTGTCATATTGGGTGCATCTGAAATACAACAGTGTCACTTAGATGAGTCTTATGCATGCATGCAACAACATATTAAACATTGGACACACTAATATAACATGCTACCTAACGACCTAACACTACACAAAATCAACAGAAAGAACCAAAATGATGGAACTACAAATTCTTACGACAAGGATGATGGTGATCTGCATAGGTGCTGGCAGTCAAGCACATGAAGACCAGGAGCGTGATAGCTGCATACATTTTTCCTGGTACAGAGGGAGTCACAAAATACAAGTCGAGATGGCAAAACCAACCCTATAAGCGCATCTACCTTTCAGAGAAGTGACTGCTGCTTTTATAGGGATCAAATCCGCTGTAGTCAATAAGTATTTCGTAAAAGGACCCAGGACTTCAAACGTCAAGCTGTCTAAACAGATTAGACCCAGCTGGTGGTGACCCAATATAACAACTTTCTTAGACTATCTTTTCTTTTGTGATTGTGCAGCTGTCCTCAGATGTTTTCGTGCATTGTTTACCTCTGCCCCGTTCGGTCAAGCGGGGACAATCGTGGAGGTTATATGCTCTTGGAGCAAAGCAGTAAATCTCTAGATAATGTTGAGTCTTATTTAATTCTATGATTAGTGATAACAGATTCCACTTTACAATGATGATATGATTAAAAATACTGTACACTATATGTCAGCAATCCCCCATTCGTACACACATTCACACACTGATGGCGGAGGCCGCCACCTACCCATCAGGATCTGAAGTAACATTACATACAGCGATTTGAGGAGCCGGGGATCGAAACGCTGATCTTCTGATTAAAGTATGACCCGCTCTACCTCTCAGCCACAGCCGCCTCCGTCAGCTAACATTTAGAGAAGCCTAGATTGACATGGATTCAGCCTGTGTCTGTCAGAAACAGAATCTTTCCTTTGAACGGTGACTTTCTGTCCCATAATGGCAATGGACCCACAGTTCATATCAGCTTAGGCTCAACAAACTTCCTCCTCACTCAAAGTTAGCTGGTATGGATGCAAGATGGCTGCAGGTCCCTGCAATTCTTGAAGATCACCCCCAGACACGTTTAAAGACATTCAAAAATACTTTGAGAAATAATTTGTGTCACAAATGTTTGTTTTTTTACACAAACAAGTAAACATGGCTTTTTTATTAAAAAATTGACTTTATTTACTTTTCAGCAAGTAAACTAACAAAAAACAAAATACATTTCTGAGTCAAGGGGGACTTTAAATTTGTATTAATTTTACAATGAACATTTTATTTCATTACCTGTAATTTCCCTTTTGTCAGAAACAGTCAAATCTTTTCAGGATTGGAATCAAATCCCATCGACCTTGATTTGATATTTTCTCTCAGCTGAAACCCTCTTGCATGAACTGGAATGTTGTAGATCGTACACAGCTATGGATATTTAAGTACAATCCAGGGCCTTAAGACTACTTTAATAATCTTTATGTCTGGTTAGAGCTTATGTGAAAACCACAAGAAAAGGGTTTTACCAACTGCCAACTGTATGTTTTTATTTGTTACTCAAACTACCAGTGCTTAGAGCCTGCCCTGAGATAAATGATATGGGAATATTCATATAACCTCCAAAATAAAGATTTTTGGACACCAATGGTGAAATAATTGTTTCATGTGGACTGAATATTATCATCAGCATCTGTGAAAAATTGTATCCAAAGATTAAAACTTTATATTTTGGATTTCTGAAAAAATCTGCTTCCTGTATTTAGAGAAGAAAAACAATGTAACCCATTGTAGCCCTTGATATTCAAAAATGCAATAGATATAGATAATGAAGAACAGTCAGGTGTATGCAGGATGTATCACAATGTCATAGTGAACATTCGAAGAGTCTTTGCCAGCAATGAATTAGGCCGGCCTCTTAAATCACCCTCACTCAACCTTTCTTTTATTAAAGTGATCCAAACTAAATAGAACCCCTGGGGAGTTTATACCAGGTCAAATGCACGGGCCAGATCAAAAATGTGTTGTTGTCCAACTACACTTTGTGCAGCTGTCTTTTGTTCTTTTGCACAATGTCCCTGCTGTGTCCGTGCTTTCAAGCAAAGAACTTGGTGAACTCTGTCAGACGGATGAGAAACAGCAGTAACTTATTTCTTTATATAATTCTTCTTTATATAATTCATAGGATTATTTCCTAAATGTTTGCATTATTAATCAGCATTAGGATTTTTTTAAGCTTTTGAAAGACTAATATTGCTCAATAGCTTCTTTTTTTTTTATCACAGTAGATAAATAAATAGTAAATAAATAAAATATAATAATACTTAAATTCCCATGTGGTGAATAAGAGAACTGGATGTCATTGCAGCATTGGATACTGTTTGTTGAGGAAGTCTAAAAATGGGAAAGAAATACATAACAAAACTAAAAGGGATGCCTGAAACCACAAATGAATGAGACTGAAAATAGACTGAGAGTAAATCGTAGGCATCATAAGGGAAATTTGACATTACTGTACGAGGGGAATATGGGAGGGGGTTGCTAAAATGAGGGAAGCCCTTCTGATCATGCACACATTCCCCTTTTTCTGACCATATTATGACAGTTCAAGAAGAACTCAGCATTCTCTCTTTCTGAGAGGAAGTCAGCATGCTTATGAACCGTGACTCACCCACAGTTCCGATAGTTTCTTTAAATTCTGATTTCCTCATTTAAAGTGTAGTGGTGGCCTTAGAGTATGCATGTTTTGTAGTGTCTTTTTTTGAATGAAAAATAATCAGCATATACAATATTGCCATAATCCAGTGTAGATAGTATAGAGGATAATATAATGTATTTTTTTTCCGTTATTAAGGAGAGACAAGCTCAGTTACTAATCCATATGGACATCATTTCATTAGGGGGCATGGATCATACAAGGTCTGTGGTCTCTTGCAAAGTGCATACCAGTTTGGAAGAAGCTTTTAATTAATGAAAGAGGTCTGCAAATCACACAACGCAAATTGTAACCTGGAGAAGGCTTGGATTTCTGTGGCATACAAGATGATATATTGTCAGCATAAAACTGGCACTGCAATGTTGAGGTGAACTGAGTCTGCACTCAATACTATTACTTTGCTATCATTTTTGCCGACAAAGTTTTTGTTAAAAGCTGGAACTGTATACATCAACTGTATGAATGAAATATGTAAAGTGATTTATAATGATTTATGTGATTAGATTAGATTAAAATTAATAACATACTGTACAAAAAAGCCCTATACACATTCCTGGCTGGCAGTTGCTTTTTCACACTTAGGGCAAAACATATATTCACTAATACACTTAAACTATAATACCACATCAATGACAACACTATATGGAAAAAGGTCTTGTGATGTATAGGTTGATTTAATGAATTAGGTCACAAATGCCTTGGGTTATAGGTTAACTTCTATCAGAGAGTAGTAAACTGTAAATCAGAGACAGAACTATTACATGACAGCGTGAACTTTAAACCCATGCTGAACACTGACAACCTCTGGCCTCAGCTGTGCGTAACAAAGAAACCATCAAGACTTTCCTGCTGCCCACTGATATGCCAATGTGAAACTGCCACACCACAAAGAGGTAGGCTTTAACCACCAGTTGTTTCACCAGTGTTTCGAGTGAAGAGGAATTTTCAAGGATTTTCAAGGATTTTTTGGCGTTGCATAGAATATCTCGGAGGAAATTTCACAGAAGATCTCATCTTTGCCCTCTGCGTTTGTTGTCGTCACACTGTAACTTTTCTTGGCACCGTGTATATTTTGTCATACCTGTTAAATCCAGAGAAATAACTCCAACTGATCCTAATACACGCTCTTAGAATGAGCTTGATTTTTTTAACCTGACAATGAGAAATTTGTCATTAAATGTAATTGTTACCATTGAATAAGATGCCCATTTTATCCTTCACTATTGTCTAATTAAAAGAAAGGAAAGGTAGAGGAGTATTTAACAGTCATACAATCAAAATCCATATACTTTTATATGTTTACTACGTTATCTTTAACACTTGGGTTTTGTTGTTTAAGTTCCATTTAGGCCTTTATTCTGGCAGTGTGAACTGGCCGATCTGGTCCCATCAGGTGTGGCCACTAACACTCTACCATAAATAATCGCATCCTCAGAGAATAAACATGCCCTTACTCTGTGGACAGGTGGTTTTGGTAGGTGTGGTTGTAAGAAGAGACTGCTCAGAATGAATTAGACTCAAGGATTATGATTTTATTTTGCATCTAATCAGGGCAGAATCAATCAAGTCTGCACAAGTACAGTAAGAAAAAGGCCGCAATGACAATCAGGCCTTACATTTTAATGATAGATAACTTTTATTACATTTAACTGCTGGAATGTACACAACATAACTGGAAATTAAATGACGCAAAAGACCAGCATTCAAAACTTATAATCATTTAATGCAGCAGTGTTAAAGAGGATCAGCAGTACTGCATTTTGTCCGACTCAAACCTGATAAATAAACACACGTACTGGCACTGTACACATTTCCAACTTTATTTCTTTCAAGCTCACTGATCATAAAACAAAAGCTTTAATCAACTCAGTATTTTATTCAATTTTCAGTGGGTTGACAGAATATCCCCCCAGTTGTCTTTCATTTGAATGTTGGGTGACTTCCCACATTTTACACTTTAGATTTATCTCTGGTTGGGAATTTACCGCCGAAGAATTATCAAGTTCTTCATGAGTGTGTGCAATTTTCTGGAAGAGGGAGCAGTTCCTTTGGCCATGAGGAAAACTGAATATATACATTTTCAATAACATTTTCAACTATAACACCGAGAACATTTTGTAAGAGCATGCAAGATCCGACTAAATAAAGCCTAGAGATGAGAATGAGTGATGTAAAATGGAAAACTACAGTCAAATCTACAGAAAATGGCATATCAAGGTTATGACTGTCATGATTCTGGACAAAGCACGGCACAGATGCGATCAATGTAACAGGAAAGTTCATCTTTTCAAGGCAGGCAGGAGACCAGGTAAACAAATCTGAGGAAGGCTACTAGACAGTCTGGCAGAGGAACAATTGATCTGGGGAGGTATACATAGATGGTGGCTGATGAAGGAATGAGGTGCAGGTGGGAAGAGTGAAGTTTAGGTGATGGGAATGGGAATGAGATGCTCGCAGGGCAGGAAGGAGTGGCAGTTAGTGATATGGCATGAAAACAGAACAGATGAAGAAATAAACTCAGAGTTGGCAGGGCTGTTGACAATAACGAGCTTTATTCTTCATTAGTTCCCTCGTAACGAGGACTTTGCATGGCAGCAGTGAAGCCTCAGAATCAACATCAGACCCAGAGAATCACATATATTACATAATGACACTAATAATATCTTAATTTCGAATATAACTTTTTTTAACAAACAAGCAACAAAGTGCTTCAGTTTTTATTCTGTGACAATGCAAATTTATGATAAAACGCCTTTTTCCAAAAATGATATTCAATGATGAGTCATAAGGGTAGTTAAGTTGTTTTTTTCTGTCTTGTTTAGTGAGATTCAGTGAAACTGCCAGTCATTACTCATCTCCATCATGAGACTCCTCAAACATTCCCTTAAGATGCACAGTCAAGACTGAACTTCACTGCCACCTGAAAAAAGTTTAGTGATTTCAGTTGTTTTGAATTGATTATAAATAGCAGTTATTAAGGCAGGATATCAATAATAAAAGTGACATATTGTTCACACTTATACTCCTATTTGCTTTCCTTTCTTGTCTATCTGTCAGTTTGTCTGTCAGTAGTTTAACTTTAAATATCCTGGTAAAAAAGGTGATGCCCCTTAAATACGCAACCACACTCTGAACGTTTTTTAGATAATAGGTTTTTTAGACTAGAGCTAACCCAAACATTTAATCAGAGCTCCTAAAAAACACTAATTTCCCACATGCCTGTTAGAGAAAAGAAAATGCACGATGCATTTCCTTTGTAGCTCACTTCCTCACCTACCTACCACTTCTGTCTGAAACATATTGATGACCACAAGATGCTGAAACAGGGAGAGAGTAAGAGAGAATGACAGAAAGGAAAAAAAGAAAAAACTCCAGTCAGAAACCGAAAGCAAGAACCTGACAAATATATAAACAGTACATGAGCCTTACCATAGCATGAATTTATCCTGATCTTGTTCACTGCTGATCCAAGGTAAGCCTATCTTAAAAAGATAGATACTTAAGACCATAGTTTGATGGGTTGTGTATTTGTGAATATACATGTATATAAGTTTAGATTACATTTCTTTTAATTATTTAGTGAATCACCATGTATGCACATGTTAGAAATTACACAGCAGACAATTGTAGAAACAGATGCAGAGTGTGTTTATGGCAGTGCATATACAAGTAAATGGACTCATTGGTTTGGGAACATTCAGTTTGTATTTCTTGAACACACTTTACTTAAACTGCCTATTTCAAACAGTAAAAAAGCTTGACAGAAAGCTGCAGTGTTTCTGTAAGCATCAATAACGTCTTCCTTATCGGTAATTTGCATCTTTGTTGCAACAGCAGCCGGCAGTAATGTCTGTAATCCGAGTCTTTGGATTCAGGACTTTGCATAGACAACCGCCACGTTCCTTCCACACTTAAACTATTTAGAGGAATCAAGACACTTCTGTTTCCATGCATGTGCACCTAGACAAAATGTGTTACAGAATTACATAAGAAAGAAAGCATGCCGTGGGGTGGAGTTTGGAGGATGTTGGGTTGGATTTTCTTTAAGAAATATCAATGGACTTCCTTTTGGACACTAAGTATGGAAATTGACAGTTAAGTTCCCATGAAGAGAATCAGTTCACTTAACCGGAACACTGTAGTTTATACTGGACGTGATACTGTGGGTCACCCTTTTTTTCTAAGTACAGTGTTGTATGCAGAAGTGTTACATCTTGAACTGTAAACATTAGATGATATGAACCTGCATCTCTGTTCATGTGACTGTTTCAGATGACTCTTTGGTGGCGGGCACTCATCCTCCTTTGCTGTGTACTGGACTGTGTGGAGTCCTCTTCTCCATCTCCGGTCCTCCAGAGGAATACATACAACAACTCCTTTCGTCTCACGAGGTCCACCCGAACCCGTGTCCAGCAGCTGCAGAAGAAATACGTGAGTAGTAAAAACATGTCTCCCTGCTCTCCTGACGGGTCAGCTTATCACTGTGCGCTCTGCACACAGCCATCATTAGCTTTCCCTATAATTACAAATATTTAATGGTTACCATGTTTACTTTAACAGAAGGAGCAGCAGTTGGGAAATAAGCATTTTGAGGACAGAAGTCGGCAGTTGAAGGACCTGCCATTGCTTTCTACAGATTTCTACAGCTGGATAAATCTGACGGTTAGTATCCTCTTCAAAACATTGCAATAAAAAAATCAGTCTGGTTGTTCGAGAGTGCAGGCAGTGTTGTTGAACTGGGGCCTGAGCGGTGGGGGGGGGGGGGGGCCGTAGAGAGAGCTATTCCCAATACAATAGCTAAGTAACTCATTTGTAAAATATATATATTCCTGATTGTGTGTGCTTCATAGCTAGTAACTAGCGTGCACTAGGGACTGTCATAATAGCGCGCAAAGCGGCCTTTCGTAACTACCTTACGCCACTGGTTGTTACACTGCAAAACACTTTCTCAACGTTTTTTGAGAATTTCTTCCACTGTTTTGAGATATTATTTTCCTCACGAGGAAAAAACACGAAACCTGATGACATCGTCTGAGAGTCTGATCTTGCAGAATGTAAAATTTGAGTGGAATTCCCCTTTTACAATTTCAAGCAAAATGAGGGTCTTGCGCAACATTTTGATGATGTAATCATGTGTCTGTCTCTTGTTGCGCATTCAGGAATGGGAACGACTGCATGCTACTTTCTGGGACATTCAAGCCTATTGGAAAATGCTGGAGCAGAAGAGAAAACAGCTAGAGGAAGAGGAGAAAGAGCAGATGATGAATCGGGTGTTCGGCAACACTTTACCCCAGAGCATCAGGCACATTCAGCTTGACCTGAGGGACCTGATGAGCCAAGTCAGCAGTCAGGTATCCACAGTCTTCTTCCTCAAATCCACTCACAATTTACCCTTTTTTTAGTCCACACAAACCCTTCGGAGGAAGTGACACTGATGTCTGATGAAAAATGTTTCCTTTCTTCTCCAGATGAGTTACATGAATAGCTCTTGGACAAAGCCAACCTCTCGCACACCCTTGAACCCACAAACCAGATCCAAAACAGTATGGGACAGCAGAGTGGAGGGTTACGTCATTCTGAGGGATCTAGACCTCTACCTAACCAAGCTGGCAAGAGACTTCCTCCTTCTGGCTTCAAAAACACACTTTTGACTGAAAACAAAACCCCGGCACCCTGACAACATACACACACACGCATGCAAATGGAAGAAACAGCGATCAGCACCGAATTGGAATAATAGTTAATAGTTTAATCAGTGTTTTAGTGGTGTTGTCAACAATTTCCTTGGAGTGCTCTTTTTAGCTCATGTTTTACTGTCTATTTAAGGGTTTTCTTGGGTATTTCCCACAGTTTCTGTCTCACCTCTGTGACTGTAAGTTAGCAATAAGCTCCCAGACAAGACTTCCCAACATGATGTTCTTCCCCCAAGCCTTCAGGCTGCTGGACTTTCCAAATATATATTTGCTATTTATTGACATATTTATTAACATGCTATTTATTTCAAAGTGGTTTATTTTATGTCTCTTACAGTATAGAGATACAGTGTTTTACATTATTATATTTTATATTTGATGAAGTGGAAATATATTTATGTATGACTGACAATAAAGAGATGAAGCAATTGAAACAGTGATAACTTCATGTTATGATTTTCCAATCTTAAAAAAAGAAGAAGAAAAAGATCAGTCATTATTGCATTACTAGAGACATTCTTGTAATTAGGATGATGCATATGAAAGGAATCTTCATTCTGTTGTGTGTGCTTGTGGTATCGTTCTGTCGGCTACAAACCAAACACATAACTGTGAAAACCTCTGAGGGTCAGTCCTCCAGTTAGCTAAAAGGATTAAGTTTATCTGGTAACTGTTTTCTGTTTCTTCATGTGCTGTTGCTCCGAGGGGCAATCTGCAGAGTGAAATCAGATTGAATACAGTCAGCTGGCTGAAATGTTTTTAATATTAAAAAAAACAAAACCTTGCAGGCTCAACACATGACATAAGAACAGCCTCTGACTCACCACTAGCAGATGTCCTCGCTTGCCTTTGACCACCTTTAGCTCTGGACCCCTGACGAAATCAATGATTCCTTCTTTGCCTCGAGCCGCAGCGAACCTAATACTGTATGCCAGACAGGAGGTAACAAATAAAAGACAGGATAGGACATGAGTACTGTTGGGTGGAAAATGACTACCGTAGAGAAGCAGTCAGAGAAGCCTCACCTGCCCGGGCTGATGTTGACAAAGTTGACTTTTCTGGCCATCATGGCTAGTTTTGTCACCAGCTCAATCACATGGTTGCAGTGCAGTACCACGTCACCCTGCGAGGGACACAACCGGATTTAGAGTGGTTGCATGGGCGTGCACTAGTAAACAGCCATGACTGCTGTGTCTTACTGTACCTTCTGCTTATTGTCCTCATTGGGCATGTGCAGAACAAACATCCCATCGCTGAGAGAGCTCACAGAGATGCCTGTTAAAAGAGAAAACCTGGCTTGGATTCATTAAACTAATGAATAAAATCACAATGAATGTATGTCCCCATCTCCTGATTTGGTTTCATAATAAATGGTCATCCTCTCACTTAAATGTATCTTTCTGAGCGAAACACTTTATTTCTGTCATTGATCAATATCTTAACATAATACATTTCTCAAATTGCCTTTCACCTCTCAGAGCTGTGTAGTCAATCCTCTGTTTGATCTTGGTCCTGTCCACTAGCACAGCAAAGGCGCTAGTGAGCAGCAGCTGGCGAGGGCGAGGCTTGTAACCCCTCCTGTCATACTTTACGACTGATACGCCATACTGAAAAAGCACAAGGAGACACATGACTGTGAGGCAGCTGTAAAGTCATGTAGCAGTTTTATTACATTGCATAGGATAAAAAAAGGTCCATCCCACCTGCACTTTGTCATTGCCGAGGGTCTGGACGACTTTGAGATTGATTTGTTCACGTTCTATATAAAGCAATGGGGAAGTCTCTGTAAATGTTATTACATCCTCTGTGTGGTGTTAATTGGTACAGAGGTAATTAGTTCATGTATCAACACGTACCCAGCCTGGAGTCCAAAAACAGCCTTCCAACACCCAGAGGATAGCTGTCTTTCTGATCCTTGAAGAGCTCACTGGCTACAACCTTCTGCATCATCTAGAGAGCAAAGAAAAATCAGGCAAGATTTTTTTGAAATTGCACATTTAAAAGAATAACAACTAGTAAGGCCATGTTTTCTGGAGTAAGTGTACCTGCTTCTTCCATTCAGGCTGGACCCTCCTGCAATACTTCATGAACATGTTTCTCATGTGCAGTGTCCGCAGGTGCTCAGAGGTCTGTAGGGCACCATGGAATTGACAATGCAGAATTTGCATTAATAACTCTGCAAATTCCTACTTAATTCTGCTACTTATTCATTCTTTAATCTGTATGTAACGATGTGATGTAGCAGAATGAGCCTCTGTGTACCTCCACGAGTAATGGAGGGGGTGTCGGCCAGTTTTTGTCCAAAACGCTCTTGGGCAGGTTTTTACGTAGATTCTTGAGGAAGGAATAGCGCACATGATCCAGGAAATACTCATTCTCAGGGCAGTATTCCTCATGGCGGTAGATGAAGCCTTTTATGAGCCTGAAAAAAAAAGATAGATACAAAGAAGGAAATGAACTGTAAATGCAAAATGCAGTCACAAAAATACATACAAAAACCAACAGTAACAAAGTATAAGTGAAGCACCTGCGTATCAAGTCAGCAGCCTGTCGACGCCTCTTAGCCCTCCTGCGTGCTTTCATCCCTCGCCACCCAGACTGGATCGTAATCACTGAACATACACATACATGCAAAGATCATCACCACAACACCTTTTACACTCAGTCAAAGAGACCATTCCAAGGTTAGTAAAGCATAGAATGTCAGCTAAATACATTTGTTGTTAAGTGAGATAAAGTGAAATCTTCACAAGCATATACACCCAAATACATGAGCTGAAACGTGGACCAAACTTTGATGGCCACCCAAAAGTATTTTTTATGTGCTTGTTCATAATAAACCTGATGAGTACTTATGCATGCATGCATTCAATTAAGCTTTAGGGACACAGTGAGACTGTAAGGGAGACAGGAAACTGAGGGGGGAGTCAACAGAGGGAGGTGCTCTGACCTGCGCTTCTGATGCGTTGGTACTTGGCTCTCTCCCTGTAGCCTCTCCATGACGTCTGCAGGGTCAAAGCTAGAACACAACAAATAAAAGAGAGTAAAGGTGGACTTATGCCTTTCCAGTGAGGTGTTGCAGTAGCTGCTGATTCATAGTTCAGCATAAGATTTATACCACTGATTAGATTCATTGTGACAGAGTGCGATGATTGCAGTGAGGACATTGTTTGCTGTTTAATAGGTGTGAACACAATAATATAAATATCTCACAATATGTCGCCATCTAATACAACAATACCTCAAATTATGACCTCGGAAACATTTGAATCATAACCCCTCTGACACCATAAACATATTATGTAATATGTACTTCCCAAAGGTAATATTCTTAATAATAGTCTTCCTTTCTGATAACCCAATGTTACAAACCGTACCACTGTTACTCACCTATCTCTGGCTTTTTTGCTTCTAGTGCATCTTCAGTGGCGAAGAGAGTTTTTGGGAAACGGATGAAGATTTTTGACCTGCAGAAAGTGGACAAAGAAATGTGTGATCAACATGACACTACAATGCCATTTGACAATCACTGCAATTAAAATTGTATGCATGGATGCATGCATTTAGTCTGGATGGTCCCATAATCTGTTGTGCCCACGAAGCGACTCATGGACCCCCATTGCCAAACTCTGCTCCCACTCTGTACTCTCCCTCCAACAATACATTACCTGCCCAGTTTGTACTCCTCTGCTTGGTAGCCTAGGTGGTTGACCAGTATCGAGACACCATCTGCAAGTCTGCCGTGCCAATTGGGCCAAGTCTCAGGACACAGGGGTTTATATCTGTGGCCGTTTGTACATAGAAAATAATGACAGTTGGTGGAGTCAACATAATGAACAATCACTGGGGCTGTAAGCCATTCAGAAAGAAAGTCAGTCACCTCTGCAGGAAGGCTTCAAAGCGACGTCGATAGGCAAAGCCAGCTCTCCTGACCCTCAGGTTTTCCATCAGGCCCAGGTACTTCACCTGGTGTCTGACCAGAACTTCATCAAACCTTCCTGCAGGGAGAGATCTTATTTACTTCAACCCATTTACTTATTTACAATAATACACTTTTGGCAAATCTCACAGCACACATACTATACTATATTCTCTCTCTCTCTCTCTCTATATATATATATATATATATATATATAAAAATACTCAAATGACTAAACAACTGGGCATCCATTTATTTTATATTTTTCAAAGACACCTGCCTTTATTTCTAATTTTCCTTGTTTTATTAGTGCCTCATTATATTTTGGTGATAAACCTTGTTTTTTGATTATATTCAATCTCTTTCACATTAAAATACTTCACAGGGCACTTCAGAGGGCACACGATAGCACAGGTGACATTATTTAAAAAACTGCTTTTGTTTGAGAACAGTACTGTAATATACAAGAAATTCATATTACAAGATGTAAAAGTGTACCTGGCTGCTTGGCATCATTAGGTTTGATACAGCGCACGTAGGATGGCTCTTTAGACATGAGGATCTCCATAAGTTTCACCAGGCTGTTTTTAAACTGAGTGGCGGCCTAAGGAACAGATTTAAAAAACAACATGAAACAACATGAACTACGGGAAATTCTCTATATATTTCTGTGTGTATTGAAAGCGAGAGAGAAAGGATTCATAGGTTTATTGTTATCACTATCTATAAATGACAGGAAAACTTTTGATTCAAACCACACCTAGAAATGATCAAAAACAGCTAAGAGAGAGAGAGAGAGAGAGAGAGAGAGAGAGTGTGAAATAAAGAAAAAGAAAGAGAAAGAAATTCTCACCATCTCAGGGCGTTTCTGGTCCATCACTCCCTCTCTGCGGAAGCAGTGACTTACGATCTGGTTGTCTGACTGGCACATGACCTGAACAGAGACCAAACAACACAACCACATGTCAACACGACACCCCCCCGCTCTTTCTCTTCACTCAAGGTTTTTAAAGGTAAAGGTTAAACCGTGTCCATTTTCATTATTCTTACCTCTTTCAGGTTCCTGTTCAGATATTTATTGTTCTTCTCTAGGAAGCCTGAATGAGATAAACAATAACACTTGTCATTAAGAAAAACAGTGGGTTGTGGGTCACGCTCTAAAACAATTGTGGAATAAATGCATGAATAAAAACAGTCCACTGGTTGATCAAGTGATGAATTACAGCTTTACCATTGACATTGTAGTTGACCTCCCCAGCATAATGCAGCAGCCTGAACTCCTCCCTACTCATTACCCTACGGGTTTTTCCATTTGCCAACTTGTGACTGAAAGACACACACACGCACAGAGAGGTTCAAACAAACATAGGCTTGCAGATGTAAGAAGCCGTGATGAGAGTCTTTGCACTGTTGGTCAAAATAATATTCGATATAAGACAATGCTTACGTGACAAAATGGGGATGGCCGCCCAGTGTGTCTTCCAACTTCTCTAAAAAGGAGACATCACTGGTCTCTCCAGGTCTCAGGCACTCCTCATCCTGAATAAACAGTCACGCTATTTAACTTTATCTGCAGTGACAGAGGGTATAAGACGACATCACATACATGACAAACATATAAACTACTTCTTGTGCGCACCAGAATGGAGATGATGCCTTTGTGCTTCTCCTCTATCAGGTCACAAATGATCTTGTTGTCGAAGTATTGCACCGTCTCCCACTGACATTAGAGGGGGAGAGAGGACAATGTTATGCTAGCATGGAAATATAAATATCAATAAGTATATCCAACTTTTTTGTTTTGACGACCCAACCAACAATCAACTCACTGCAATTCCCTCTGTCTCGTACTCCTCCTGCTCAGATCTCAGGGTGAGCTCAATAAACAGCTGCTGGAGCTTCTCATTGCAATAGTTAATGCAGAACTGCTCAAAACTGTCAGGAGAAATATAAGGCAAGTTAGGCCAAATCCATGCTGGAGCGATGTGCAAAAGCTATGTGTGTTAGAGACAATTTCTGACAAAGCCTTTGGTTCACTGAAAAACAGAGGCAGATTAAGATGCGCTGTAAATAAATGGAATTGAATATAACTCATACCTATTGTGCTGTAGGACCTCAAAGCCATAGATATCCAGAAGCCCAATGACTGAGCAGCCCTTACCGCTGTGGTAGATTTCTTCCTGCATAACGTGTAAAGTACACAACATGCAATCAATGGTAAAGCGCAACAATTGCATGTTGCATTTGAGTTGTTATCAGAACTGTTACTCAACCTTCAGAGCCAGCGACTGATTCATCTTCTCCACCAACCAAGTGAAGGTCCGACCGTACACAGACTTGGCTATGGCGTCGCGGGCAGACACTGCCTGCTCAAAATTTAGCGGGCTGATCATCTGTAATGCACAAATGCAAGCGAGACACAAAATTATAAAATCGTAAGATACACACGAAACAAGTAAACATGTGGGGAGCACGGACACAAAGACTGTTACCTCCTCTCCTTTGGCAGTGAGTTTCTTGTGAGTGAGTGCCTCCCCGAGCACTGAAACATCGATACCCAGCAGCTGGAAAACAACAACACATCTGCTGTTAGCTATGACTTTTTTATGTGTTTTTGCGTATTTCAACATCCAATAATACTAGTGGGACTGTTCTGACCTTTGCAAGATTTGTTATCTGAGTCTCAGAGGTGACATAAGCTTCTCCATCCTCCCCTTCCCCAAACTGAGTGTTTCCCAGATGGAGAACACTGGCGATGATATTGAGCAAGTTCTGAGGTCAGACACAGGAAAGACAGTCAACAACCTCACAGATGTTTTCAATGAATGTCTGGAGAGTCACTAAGAATATGATCATCCATACACAATCAGAACCAGAGACATTTCAAGTGTAAAAGTGTTTTTCAATAACCTTTTGAATTAAATGGTCACAACAAATGCTTGATGCAAAGTTGATGTAAACAGTGCAGGATTCAAAAATAAATTTCAAAAAAGCATTTGCAAATGTTTCATGACGAAAACATTCTAAGGATCCAAAAAGGGTTTTGGTTGGAAAACAATGTAATGTAAAAAATACAGATTGTTCACTATTAAAACTGCACAGGTTCCTGTGGTTTAAACTTGTATCACTACTTTAGGATTCATGTAGAGTTGTCCTGAATGTTTTTATGATGATAAGAAAAGGGATGTTTGGTCAGTGCAAAAAATAAAGGATAACAAACAGTGGACATATTCATGATGGAAATTAACATTCCCAGATCATTGCTCATATTGGATCCATTCCTACGACTTTACCTTTTGAACTTCCACATCAATGTGGTAAACCAGAGAATATGAGTGAAAAACAATGTCACGGCTGTGATTGCTACTGACCTGCACTTCTTCCTCTGTGAAACCAATAACAGACAGGGCCTTCATCACAACATTCCAATTTCTCTTGTCACTGACGGAGCTGAGTCTGGGACAGTTGCCCTGAACAACAAAATTAAATATCACACCACAATTCATCTCAGTAAGAAATGTTAGTTTGAAAAAAAACCAAGTCATCATACTTCTGCACCACACACACCTTCACCAGATAGCTGTAGTTCTGAGGGTTCCTTTCCAGGGCCAGTGCGGTCAGCAAGTTGTCGTCCCCTCCATCCAGAAGCTGATAGAAGATGTGGAAGTTCCTCTCACCTTGGTTCTGGTGCACCACACGTGATTTCTCCAGCAGGTACTTCAGGATGTGACCGCCCGCTGGCGCCCCCTGGGAAGAGTTACGGGACACAGCAGGTTGAGTGCCCTAGACTTTTAAATGTTTGAGCTTCTATCAATAACTAAATAATAACTAAACTAACTGCTGTTTTCAGTATGGTATGAGCACATATGAGTTCTATAGAGTGTGAAAGCAAAGAAGGGAGCGTTTACCCTAAAGTCAAACTGGATATCCATGTATTTTCCAAAGCGGCTGGAGTTGTCATTCCTAAATGTTTTGGCGTTGCCAAATGCCTGCGCAAGGCAAAAAAAGCAAGGAAATTAGAGGGAGGAAGGGAACATAAGAGCAACAATACAATGACAAAATCAAACAATCAGGAATAAATATTAAGAAGCATTTATAAATAACAAATATGCAAAGGTCATTCAGATTTCTCAGATCAACCAGATAATGTAATTTATTGTGAAAGTCAAATACGTCTAAATGTACTGTGCTTTTAACTGATTGTGGCTGTTTGAATAGTGTAAATACCTCCAGAACAGAGTTAGACTGCAGTAGGCGGTCACCAAGGGTCGCCATATGTTCATTAACGGGGCAGGTGACAGCGTAGTAGAGGAGGATCTTCTTGGAGGCTTCTGTTTTACCTGCTCCACTCTCACCCGATATCATAATACACTGGTCCTTCCTCTCGGTCCGCATGGCTCGGTAAGTGTTGTCTGACAAGGCGTAGCTGAGGGGAAAAACAAAAGCAGCTTCAACTACCGATCAACATATATTTGAAACATGGTGGAAAAGTCACACAAATGTTTCAGTCCAATGGAAGCAATGCAAGCAGTCTGTTGTGACTGTTATGAGTAAAATATGTGTTTTACATGCTTGCTATTATCAAATGTATTTATTTATTTGATGTTTTACTTATAGAAATAAGTAGGCGCACATAATCACATGCTATCCATCGTATGTCACAATTTGTATAGTGTTCTTTTATTAAATTTCCCTTTAACCCCAACTCAAACATGACCCTGCTGTCAAAAATACAATATCTTAAAGAAACGTGTCATGTATACACATTAAAGATGAAATAGAGAGAACACTTAATGTCACATCAACACAGCGAAAGAAAACAGCAAAAAAATAAAAATAAAACTGTCAACAACAAAAGCAAAAGGATGGCGTATTCAACTGTTGTACTTTGAAAGTCAACAGTCTTTTCCCAAATACCTTTAGTTTTGTCACACTTATGTAGCATATGCACCAAAATACTTGTTGCTTCCCCACTATAAAATGTATTTGTAATCATTACAAAATTACATTTATCCACAAATGATAAGAATGCATGAACCTGGTAAAACCTATTTTTGTTATTAAATATTCTTACTTCATGATCTATTTAGAAATGATATGAGGCAAAATCAAAAGAGGTTTATAATTCTGGAGACAGTTTAATGTTAATTATATTAAGGTAGAACTGAAACAATTTGATTGAGTGACAAAAAGACCCCCCCCCAATGCAGTATATGCATCGAGCTATAGAAAGCCTCTGTGGAGGTTTCAGTATTACGGCATATAATACTCAGCATGCCATGTGATTATTAGCTGTTGGCAGCAGAGGACAGTGGAGGAGTTAAATAAATGTGTAGGGACCCTGAAGCAACTCACATGTGAGGCGATATCTCATAGAAGCTGACCCCTCTGTAGCGGTCCATCTGCTGCTTGGAGTAAATCTCCAGCTCTTTGTAAGGGTTCACCGACACCAACACGGAGCCAATATACGTCTGAGGCAAAACATTAGAACACATTTAAGTATGTTTCACCACAGCAACTGAAATGTTTTGGAACACATGAAGGAAATTGGCTCTATTACATAGATGAGGTTTTCCCCGAAGCGTCTCCGTAGGTTCTCTATGAAGGCAGCCTCGCTGTTGTAGTTTTCCAGCAAGACAAAGTCCTGCACCCCGACCCTGTCCCGGGCCGTCAGGGCACTCTCCATCACCAGGCGCACTCGTCCTTCAACATCCACCTCCTACAGGAAGAGAGAGAAGGAGGAGCATTACGGAGAGGAACAGAAATGAAGCGGACAGTTCAGCAGAACTGCAGAGAGAAGAAGATCTCTGCTTTTGCTGGTAATCTTCCAATAGATACAATTACACTCTTTTGACCAACAGGGGGCACAATGCATGATACATTTCACCCAGTTATGAAAAAATTGACATCCGACGCTCAATATTACAATAATTGCCACATCATTTTATCACAAGATAGAATCTATGAAGAAAGACATATTTCAAACATATCTTCACAATATCAGGGAAAATGTCTCCAGACTTACTGACACCAAAACAACTCTGTAAAAACACAAAGTAAGAACAGTTCCACCAAACCGTGCCAGGATTAAACAATGAAGAAATTCAAGGAATCCAAATAATAAGCAGACAGGATAGACTCTTTTATCAGGCGATAGTGAGATAGTGTCTTATGATGTATGTGCAGTACACACAGCTCGATATCACCAGACGAGATTTAACCGATGCCACAAGTAAAAGCGTGTGTACATGTCAACCCCACTGTGACGGCAAACATTATAGTGCAGACAGGAACTAATTACCAGATGGCAGAGTGAAATTCTAAGATATGCCCTAAGGTAAGATATTAAAAACACAACCACATGCACGCTCGCACATGCAGAGAGATAAAACTGTCAGCAGTCAATACTTACTGAGAATAAATATCCAGGCGCACAATTCAGTGTGTAATCAATGCACTACACCCCAGCCAAACCAGCTGCACTCCATCTTCAGTATCAAAGATACATTTATGAGAGAAGCCCTACTGTTTTTCTTTACATGTTCATAAAAAATAAAAAAAAACAAACAGAAAGTGGAACAAAGGGGCTAGACTTCCACAGGACTTCTGTTTTTCTTGAATGCAAGAGCCTCTCAAGGGTCCCATTTAATGCCGGTAAAAAGGTCATTATCTCTGGGCACTGGAAGAAGGAAAATCCTTAAAAAAACAAGAGGACAACAGTGGAAGATTGCCAAGAAGCGAGAGCAAAGGAAAGTCACTGGACATTCCCACTGCAGCCACTCCTCTCTGCTTCACCTTAGAGTATTGTTCTCCCACTCCTGCAGGTGGGCTTCCTACAGATAGTAATTACAGTTCACAGAGTTTCCAGAGGATAAAAAAACTAAAGGAATGTTAGGGTCAAGTTTGGGGCAGGCGTTGAGTGAATGCCACTAAATGTTTAAATGTTTCTATGTTGTGTGTCAAACAGCTGTGCATGATTTTATACACTGAGGATTTGCTTTTGCATGCATGGTCAACAAGAAACTTGCATTCATGACACCTTTAAGGCAAAAGTAGTATAACTAAGAGTGCAGACCAACAATTAAGATGTACAGTAGCCGCTGTGCTGGCAGTGCCTCTGCAGTGTCCACTTTACCAATGTCCGACACATCCACATTTGTTATATTCTTGTCATCCCCACTTCTTTTTTTTTTATTGACACAAAAACACAGCAAGCGTTGTTTTCAAAGATCTATCTCTCAGCAGTCATGAGTTCTTATTTTTTCTTGTTTTTACTTTTATCCCAGGGGTTCTATTACAGTAACACGTGGAACTAATTTTCGGGATGAGAAGCCTCACAGAAAGCATTCCTGCCTCTACGGCTGGGGTAGAGGAAGTCTTAAAGGATGTGAAAATCCTTCTTATGGAGATACTGTGGCTGAGATACCCTCAGAGTTACAGGTCTGGGGTGGAGATAAAACCAAAACACAATGTAACTCTTGCAGCTTTAACTCTGATTTAACTGACAGGCTCCCAGCAGGGCTTGGATGCTTTATGGGGGGGATTTGACTGATAATCAGGAAGCTTCAGTGAAATCTGCAAGTTTGTAGGTGGAGCAGCAGTGACAACCAGTGAGGAGGCTAACCAAACAGTGGGACTTGGCTCCAGGCCCCATGACTAAGCCCTGCTGGGCCGACTACATTCGAATTGTCTTCCTTATAAGGCATGCCCCTCCACTCTGTCCCAGGGCGAGCTGCTCTGCTACCGCAGCTGGCTCTCTATCACTCATGTGCCAGTAATGGATATGGTGGAAAAATACCACGTTTATTCTTCCTGGGCCGCATGGGTTAAAGCTTATACAAAAAACCCAAATATTTACTGACTCATACATGGGCAAAAACGAAAAAGAAAAAAACATCTAAGTGACTCATTGTTCTGTTTTGCTTCCCCTTCCATAACAGAGACAGTGAATTATTGGATCGGATCTTGTGCTTCACTTTGTAAGCCCAGATAAGGCACATAAAAGCCAGTCAGTGTGCAGCACTAAACGTGAAAACACAACAAGGAGCATCATGGTAGTCAGGATCTTACCCTGCCTTGGTACCTCATCCTGTCCTGTTGTTGTTGGAAGAAGGCTGTATTGGTGGTCCCCCCCCCCAGGCTGGCACTCCTCCTCTCGTGTCAGACAGATTCCTCAACTTTTCATCCACCTTTTCTCATGGGTGACACAATTAGGTAACTTTTCTTCTTCTCTCTCCCCCCGCGTCAGGTACTTTCTCACTTTCTCTCAGCTTTAGTCTCTTTCTCCACGCCTTTCCTCCTCTTCATCCGACTCCCCTGTGAGGGAAAAAAGCATACGCACTCGGGCCAAAACACAAACAGCCCCTTTTGTTTATACCTTCAATACATCTTCCCTTTGACAGGTCAAGTAAATGTCCGCCTCTCCATGAGTTCCTCTCCTTCCTTCTAAACCAAAGTGCATGAAACAAGGGCAGGGACTCCACTCAAACGTCACACACAACTGGACCAAAAAAACAAAAAGCCAAGGGAAAGCAGGCTGTTGAAAAAGAGCGAGAGAGCCGAGAGGGTTTGGAAAACTTTGCTAAGAGCCCCAAACTACAAACATGTAATCACTGTGCAGCTATATAAAAAGAGAGAGAGAAAAAATCACATGATGAGATCTCAGTACATTCTTTCTTCCCTACCCTCCCTATTTAGTTTGCTCCCTCCCTTTTCTCCCACAAGCTGAAACAGATTCACATGAGATGTGACTTATGAAAGTATTTCACCAGCAAGACCGCCTGGCCATCTTCCACTGTTGATGAAATAACTTTCACCATCATCATAATGTCGCTCTGCAGATCTTTCTGTTATTATATTAGTCTGAGCTGTCATATTCCCCCGGTTGGTTTCCCAGGCAACACTCACAAGTTAACATAATAGTAATTATGTATAAAATGTGCTGTCTGCATTGGCCATCATCGGATTCCTGACTTCTTACGTCGCCTCTCGTTGAAGGCATATCTGGGGAGTGCTGCCAACTCCACATCGTCTCTGTGAGAGAACAGCGCCCTCCTTTGGTTTCCCTCCCCTTGTGTGTGCCCTCACCCCATTTTACCTCACTCTGTCTCCACCATGCCCCACTCTCTTTCCTTTGCCAGCATCATCAAATATCCAACGGTGAGGAATCTGAATAATGTTGCCCAGATGGAGAGAGCCTCTCGCTCTTTTTCTCAATCCCTGGCTGTCTCAATTCTTCTTAGAGCAAGAAGGAAATGTCTCAAATGACTTTTTATGGTGTTATTTATTTATTTGTTATGTGTTTTCTGTTTGTTATGTGCTGTGAAAGTTGTGTGTCGTTTGGTGTCTGTACGAGTTGATTTGGTGGCAAATAAGGGATTAATAAAGCTTTCTAACTAACAACTCTTTATGCTGCTCCCTCCCCACCACTCCCTATATATGGAGTGTACACAACTATGGGGGAGTTGACACTGCCGTATTCATTAAATTATTCAAAAGATTGTGTGGCAATTGGTGTCACTCAAAGCCTAATTTTGGTGCCTTGCCTCCTTTACTAAGTCGTGCCAGATCTGCATTAGTCAAGTCAAGTCAAGTTTATATATCTTATTTCTCTCACAAATCAAAGATTTGCCTCAAGGGGCTTTCACCCAATATTTCCTCACTTGAACTTTTTCAGTCAAATGTTCTCACATACCTTTTCTGTATGAAAGGTTTGCCTTCATGTCTGCTTAGTTTACTTGGTTACCTCATCGCCTTCCTCCACAATGTGCTCTATTCACACCAGCGTCACCTCAAATGATGAGGTCAATTTTGTATGGAGCGCAAAAATCAAAAGAAACTCGTACAATGAAATGATAGTTGATCATTTAGTGGGCACAGAAATGTTGACTACAGCAGAATGGTAGGTATTGTTGGGTTCTCCTATCAGAGCCAAACAGTGCTCTCAGGAGATATTATGTTGAATAAGAGTTAATGTGCTCACAGGAGCACCATGGGTCCATGCCAGGCTACCAGGAGCTCACGTGTGAGCTCCACTTTCAGGCAAAGCTGCAGGCACAGGCCCTAGTGTGTCTCAACTAGGTGTCAGATGTCATACATGCCTTGCCTTTAGTCCGGACCCTCTCTGAGAACAAATTTCATTTGGAAGACTTCCCCAGCAGCTCATGCCTACAACAACTCAGCTCCCAGGATCACATGGACAACCAGCTTCTCCACCTCTGCATCACTGATCACTGGAAGAGGCCATCATTTCTTCTGAACATAGCAATTGGCTAACATGTAATTATGAATTAATAAATAATGAAACATATTTTTTTTAGTATGCTACACATTTATTCCGCTGATAGGTGTTGTAGAAACCTCAGTTTCTTTTCACAAATTCAACGTTGGGCCTGTTTGGGTTTTCTTTGGGTCATCAGAAAAGTCAACTTGAAAAGTCAAAACCGTGCACAGACGCCTCAGACAGAATATACTGCAGACAGATTGCTGGCAGCGTTTGTTTTTTTTACTTACTTTTGAAGGGTATCCAAGACATAGCATATGTAACCACATGCATGTGGAAAACATAAGGGTACTCTCCGAACACATCTGGTTCGTCTACTCTGCACACATTGCAGCATCTGGCACAACCTCACTGCCAATGAAATCCAAAAGACACTAAAGTCAACCAGAAAGAAACTACAGTTCCACCGCAGCCTGCATCTTCACCATCATTCTGACATCTCCTTCTGCATTATTTCCTGCTGAATTTTTTTAAAAATAAGTCTTCCTATCTTTGTTTAGCAGTTCCTGTAAGAAGGATTTCCTTACTAGCCATTTCCTGAAGTTCGGGCTCTTCCTTCATGACCATTTGTTTGAGCTCAGTTCTGATGTGAACCATACCTTTCTAGTTCTTAGTTATATTTCCTGCACATCACTGTTGATTCCTTCCTCGATTAGTTTAAAAACGCAGAGAACCCAAGGTGTTATGCGCCATAAACTGGAATGTAACACTTGCAAAAAGTTTAACTGCGATCAAAATATGGACGGTAGCACTGAGCTGATTGATTTAACCCAACTTCCTCTCAGGAGCACACGCACTTACTACTCACCTCAACTGTCACTACTTCCATTTCTGTCAAACTCAGTACCAAAACGCTGAAATAAATATCCTTCTTTTTACAATGCACCCATGCGCCTGACTTCAATTTCAGATCATCACAATAATGTAAAAATAACTCTGAACATCTGACATATTATGGAACAAATCCAAAGAATCCGTGCACAACCCTCCACCCTCCTCTCATGAACTAACTGCCTGCATGTTTGTGCAGTGTTTGAATCTGAGGTATAGTAATCGCTTTGCCTCATTTTGTATTTAAATTGCTACGGTTTTACGATTCAATATCACAATGAATCACAGAGCAATGCTGACTTATTTGGGCGGGGTGGAAAATTGGTTTCTTCCAATTCTCTCTCTTTCTCTCTCTCTCTCTCACACACACACACACACACGGTCAACTTGTGTGAATAAATGAGATAGTGTGGGTATCAGATATAATCTTTAACCTCTATCTAGCTCATCTAAATCTCCCCATGCTAACTTTTCCATAATGAAATGTCTCTCTTTCATCTTTCCTTCCTATCTCTGACCTGTTATGTTACAGTATGCATGCTTGAATGTAGAGCTATTTTGGAGTCAACTACAACATGACGAAAATATGTGAACGCTGTGTGGGGTTTCCTGTAGGTTTCCTGTTTGTAATGTCCTTGGTTGAGAAGTTTTTTTGTCGCCTATCGTCCATCTGCGCTGAGCTCCCTCAGCACCCGTCTGCTTTCCCTTTCACCCTGTTCTCACCTCAACTGCCTCTCATCCCCCAGATACTTGTTACACCACAAGAGCTACTAAATTGATCAAGGTGTAAAACAAAACCCCATGAATCTACGAGCTGTGGGAACACATTTATATATGGCGTAGGAATTTAAAAGCAAAGACACAGAAGAAATATGTATTGGGGTATGTGTAGTAATCTTATATGTCTTCTCTCTTTATAAAAATAAACACAGTCAACATGAGGATGAGGAAGAGGTTTTGAGTCAATAGTTTAACTTACCTAGCATGATCACTGGAACAATAAAAAGCACAAGCTTATAACTAGATCAACTCCTCTTGATCATATGAATCATAGGATGGCTTAGGGCTCTGCCTAGTGGTAGCAATATCAATTACACAAAACTGGCTCCAGTGCCTCTTTTTTTGTGTGAAAGGGATGGGATGGCTTGCCATTACATTTGGTTCATAGAAGATGAATCTGAATGAACTTGATGACTGCTTGACTTTGGGTCTGGTGCCACAAACAGATGACAATTCCCACCGTCTTTTCTTAAAACCAATAACAGAGCCTTAATTTGCATACAGGATTTTTCTTGTAACAGTATTTCTACACCGTGACAATTCTACTTTTATTCAAGCAAAGAATCTCAACATCTCTTCTACCAACACCAAGCACAAACGCTGTTATCAATTTATCAAGTATAACCGGGAGAATTGTATGCATCTTGCACATCACAAAACTATAGACAAATACATGCACACATACAAAAATAGTGTACATGCACATCTGTAATAAACACATAGAAATAAGCCTACCTGGTCTTCCTTAATATTCAGAGGGCATGAACAGTCCTCTTCTTGGTCTCCAGGTGCAGTCTGGTGGTGGCCACAAGTTACACTAACATGCACTCCCACTCGGAACCGCTGGAGACGCAATGAAATTACGACACAGCGAACGTACTTAGTATAGAAAATGCGTGGAATTTATACAGAAAGTAAAAACTGCGAGCGCATGAAGCCCTCACTGCAAAGGTGCATTTCAGGTAGTTTTTAGTCCATAAATCCGCTAGGAGGCGGTAACGCTGAAGTTAATCATCAAAGTAATCAGATATGATGATGATTGATGCCAGGTAGCCTCTGTTAAAGGTGGAGGAGCTGAACGGTACCATATTGGGACCTTTTACGGCCCAAATGTATGAGTAGGCGGTGTTAGACTATACGCGGTGGCCTTCACTACATCTGGCTGTCTGGTGTAATGGAGTATAATTTATATTGAAGTCATATTCCCTTGTTTTGCTTTGTACCTTGGGAAATATACTAATAGGGTCTGTCAGGTCCATAGCATGCTGCAGTCTCATTTACCTCCAACTGTTTGTCTGTTTACTTAAAAGTGAGTTTACAAAAGACTTTAGCAGTTTATGTTTTTTCATATGATATCATGAAATTAAATATCCCACTGTTTCACATTTTGTTGTGATTTAATGCAGTGTATTTTTATCATTAAAGATGAAAACGTGCCGTTTTCTAACATAACTTTACGGGAATAAGCAATAGTGTTAACTGAACGTTAGTCGGTTTACTTCACGTTACAGTAACGTTAAGTATTAAAATAAAATCACCCACGAACGTCGACAGCTTGCAGTTTACGTTAATGTTACTGCAAAATAGCCAGTAACGCTAACCTGTATCAGATGGAAAACGTTACAAGTCACATAGAACTTCACTGTAAGTTCTATGTGACTTGCCTGTACGTTACATTCTCTGGGTGAACCTTCCAGGAACAAACGGCTGCACGAAACATAGAGCGTGGCAGTACCTTTAATTAGGGACTGAATGCTGAGAAATCGATTACTTGCAGGTAACGAGCCCCGCATGGGCAGTGCAACGTTACTGGTGAGCTAACGT